CAAATGAAAGCTTGTTCAATTCCCTAAATTTGTTTCCAAACAAGAATGCAAAAATATTTAGTGGTTTCATAGCTATAGTGTCTGGCGTATCTGGTTACTTTAGGAACCGATATGTGATAAAGGGTTAACTGCGCACAGGAAAGGATGGTTGAGATTGGGATTTTTTTAGACAGAATTTATATGGAAAAAAATAAATTTTGTTTTTGACATCTTAATTTTGGATTATTTTTAAGAAAAAAAACCATTGTACCAAAAAATATCAACCATTCTTCCGTGTGTGTGTGTGTCTTTTTTACGCTGCTATGTCATTATTTATTAATTCAAATGCGATTTCAATGGGCTTCATATGGACATTTGAATACAAAATGCTAGAAAATTGTTGGACAATACCAAGCGATAAAAATCAATGATTCAATGATGACAAGTTCTCCTGTTGAATACTACCGAAGAAGCATGGCTGTGTCATAGAGAATGCCTATACGTGAGAATTCTTTAGATAAACGCTTCAATTATAAACCATTTTGTGAAAACTTGACAAACAGTTGAATCGTTTCACATCGCAAATAATAAATAAATAATCTCTTGATAAAAATGAAGGAAAAACAAAACATAAAAATGACGGTTAATTGAATGTGAGCGGAGTGTGAAATTCAATTATTTAACCCGCGCCCGCTGCTAATGTCAAATTGACACTGCGCATACAAAGCGATCAATAAACATGTATCGCATGGAAAATGGAGATATTATAATGTCCTAATGAATCAATCCAATCAATCTGATCACATCAACAAGAGCATCTCCAAGCGGTTGATAAGATGAATTAGTCATTTTTACTATTGTTTTCATCTTTATTAAAGCCGAAAAAATTCACGGCTAAAATGAATCTCAAATGAAACTCTCTACTTTTTAGAATAAAAACAGTATAATTGAGGGTTAATGTAAACAATTATAATGCAATATAAACAATTTAAATTATAAATCTGAAGTTGACGTGTCGTACTCTTCCACTTTTCAACTTGTACCGAACAAAATGTAAAATTGTTTAGTTTTCATTCGAAAGCTAATCTAAACAGTCGGAAAAACTAAAATAATTCCTGTTTATATGAGTAAATTAAAAGAAAAAAAAAAAACAAACAAATTCATCGATCAAAATTTAAAAATCTCATTCATTTACCTGTGAAACATCCTTATTTTTCCAAATTCTATTTTCCGATTTCTTCTGTACTAACTAAAATTCTGTTGCGGCCTAAATATAATTTGAAGTGCATTTAATATGGAAATTTTTAAGATTTTGAAAGAACACATTGAATTCCTGACGAATTATAATGCTCAGACATTCCAAACATCTCAACGATTGACTATCAGAATTGTCGTGTCTTTTTTTCTATTGACGTCATTTGGTGTGTCAACCGTTATGTTCTTTTTGTTTGAAGCTAAGAATTTCCAGGAGTATGCTGATTCATTTTATTTATCTGTGACAACGGTGTTTGGCAGTATAATTTCTGCAACTACCATATGGAATATCGATAAATTCTATAAGTTTTGTGATAATTTTCAAAGTGCTATACAAAAATGTGGTGAGTTGGTTGAGTACACAACACAGTAGCCTGCTCCAAAAAAAAAAGTTGCCCCTCATCCAAAAGGCCCGGGCAGTTTCGAAAAATATACCTCAAAAAAATAGGTTTTGTCTAAAAAAAATCACATGGGTACCATATAAAAACCCATGGCAAGCCCCATATGAAAATTTTCATGACAGCGATTTCGGAAGCCAATTCATATCGCAACATTTTGACCCAAATCATTTTTTCAGCCAATTTTCGGCAAAAACTGATGATAGGGTTTTGTCTGGCTCGTCAATATGTACAACTTTTACCAAAACATCAGCCCTTGAAAAGGCATTCTGGGCCAGTTACAGTGTAAAATGACGAAAAAAATGGAAATTTTTCGGCATTTTTTGCATTTTTTGCTCTACTGGTCACCCAGGTGGTGGACTTTTGTTCAATTTTGGAGTTGTGTCGTGTAACCAGGACCTGTACAAAAAATTTTTTACTTGTACGATTGCGATTTGGATGGAGTTTGGCGACAATTGATGCAGACATAAAAGACAAATTTCAGGCCAAAATGAGCAAA